TTTTTTGAACGCTTGCACTTGTTACGGTGATACTCAGGTTCTACTCAGTAAACACATAGGTTCCAATAGCCATGTGTTGTTTTGTACTTTGTAAATTGATAAACCAATTGAAACCGGGTCTTGCGGGATAGTTTTGTCCCATCACAAGCAAACAAGGACGAATATAACAACATAACATCTTATTCTATGGGGAAATATACCAGTATAAGTCTTTGACAATAAACAGGTCAGAGTTGTCTATTCATTTTTTTATCTAGTTCTTATAAATCATTCCGAGTTTATATATAAACAAAAGTTCTGTATAAAATTAAACAGCAACTTTCAGGGAAGAGTCCCAATTCCATCAATACAAAATTCTACAGCTAAAAAAACATTAAGATAAGACATGCGTCAACTTGCACTTATGAGGTTCCCGACTAGGGACATCGGCACACGGTGTGGGTTAAGATCATTGTCGAAGGCAGTACGGTGACATATAGCTGCCTACATCTACATCCTTCAGTCTCTGGTGGATAGTGGTCTCATTGACTGTTATATCAGCGATACCACATCTCATTTCTACATGAATATTACAATTGTTGTATGTTTCAACCGTCCCGAGGTTCCCTTTTGATTTCGACGAGAGGACTAACAAAGTGGTAAAAGAACATACAATTTAAATCAGGTCAAAAAAAACAATCAGTAACTCTTAAACCTTGAACGGTATGACAAATTATAAAAGCACCAGTACAAATTATAAACAATACAGCGTGTGAAAGAATGCCAAGGCGTAATTATAGTATACACATATTGACTGGTTATGAGGGTGATAGCAAGTTTGTTATCCCTGAGATACCAACTATTGATCGAGGCGAAGCCGAGGGCAATAGTTAGTATCGAAGGAACAATACAATTGCTATTACCTTCATAACCAGTCATTAAGTGTTTTATTATACCGAACAAAATATCTTTCTAAAAAGTCTACATACAACACCTGGAAAAAAATTAGTCACATGAACATGCATACTATGAACTATCAGGTTTTTTTGGCCCGTGTGGTATTTGTAAATATTTTACTAGTATAGTAGTTTAATCAAGACCAGGAATCCATGAGTAAAAGTTCCTGTGCACATAACAAACGTTATCTAAAATATATTACCGTACACCAAAGCAATCACAGATTATGAAGACGACGACAGACACATACCATGCATTTGTTATGTTTAGTTCTTTTTAAATATGTCGCGTAGATTTTCTTTTTTTTCTAATTGCTTCTGGTAAGTAATATCTTTATTTAAAATTAAAACGAAAGACACATACGGATTTTACCGTTTTCGATATTTCAGAGTTTAACGTTGCCAAGCGCACAAATCCAAGCAGAATAGTCAATAACGTCATTGTTCTCCAATGAAAAGTTAGTATGAAAAAGTCCGGGAAATAGGTTCATAAAACTATTGACCGGGGTAATAGTCTTTGAAACTATTGACTGGCAAATAGTCTGTGGAATGAAATAGCACAAATATTTCATTCTTTTTTATATAGAAAAAACATACTGAGGTATAATACTGAAATGCATTAATCAATCTATTCTTGTTCTCTTCTTTATACTTTACTCTTTGTTTTTTTCATTAACGGCATAGCTAAAAGAATAAGATCACAAAGAAAATGGCATATTGAGGTAATTCAAAGGCAGTTGCTATTTTGCAGGTGCCGGCAAAATAGAAAATATGCTATTTTGCCGTCTCTATGTAAGCGGAAGCCAATTTTGCAAGTAAAAACGATTTTGTTTACAGATATGAAATTCAAACTGACTATTATTTCAAAAGCAAATTTAGTTTAAACATTTTTGATTTTGTAGCTATGTGATTGATGTTATTAGATTGTATAATTTGTTTCAGTATCAAATTTATATGCAATGAGATTTTGAACTTTTATTTTTTTACAACATCAAAAATCTCAGATTTTATTCTTATGCATACATCATTGTAGCATTAGACTGAGATTGATTTTAGAAGTTATATCAACTACATGTTTCGACATGATTTCATTGCTACAAATGGATGCTAATTTTTTTTTTATTGTATTTAATTGTTGTTGTTTTTATGCAACGTATTACGGTTACTAAACATAATATCTGCATTATTTTTCATTTGTTATTCCCAACAAATCCCTCAGTATAAAATATAATCATCTCAGACTTTTGTACATAAGTTAACTATTGGTCATATATTACCAACCTCCAGCGGCCATCTTATCTTTTGACAGTCACATCACTCTGCGTCCGAAACAGTGGCCTTTTTTGAACGCTTGCACTTGTTACGGTGATACTCAGGTTCTACTCAGTAAACACATAGGTTCCAATAGCCATGTGTTGTGTTGTACTTTGTAAATTGATAAACCAATTGAAACCGGGTCTTGCGGGATAGTTTTGTCCCATCACAAGCAAACAAGGACGAATATAACAACATAACATCTTATTCTATGGGGAAATATACCAGTATAAGTCTTTGACAATAAACAGGTCAGAGTTGTCTATTCATTTTTTTATCTAGTTCTTATAAATCATTCCGAGTTTATATATAAACAAAAGTTCTGTATAAAATTAAACAGCAACTTTCAGGGAAGAGTCCCAATTCCATCAATACAAAATTCTACAGCTAAAAAAACATTAAGATAAGACATGCGTCAACTTGCACTTATGAGGTTCCCGACTAGGGACATCGGCACACGGTGTGGGTTAAGATCATTGTCGAAGGCAGTACGGTGACATATAGCTGCCTACATCTACATCCTTCAGTCTCTGGTGGATAGTGGTCTCATTGACTGTTATATCAGCGATACCACATCTCATTTCTACATGAATATTACAATTGTTGTATGTTTCAACCGTCCCGAGGTTCCCTTTTGATTTCGACGAGAGGACTAACAAAGTGGTAAAAGAACATACAATTTAAATCAGGTCAAAAAAAACAATCAGTAACTCTTAAACCTTGAACGGTATGACAAATTATAAAAGCACCAGTACAAATTATAAACAATACAGCGTGTGAAAGAATGCCAAGGCGTAATTATAGTATACACATATTGACTGGTTATGAGGGTGATAGCAAGTTTGTTATCCCTGAGATACCAACTATTGATCGAGGCGAAGCCGAGGGCAATAGTTAGTATCGAAGGAACAATACAATTGCTATTACCTTCATAACCAGTCATTAAGTGTTTTATTATACCGAACAAAATATCTTTCTAAAAAGTCTACATACAACACCTGGAAAAAAATTAGTCACATGAACATGCATACTATGAACTATCAGGTTTTTTTGGCCCGTGTGGTATTTGTAAATATTTTACTAGTATAGTAGTTTAATCAAGACCAGGAATCCATGAGTAAAAGTTCCTGTGCACATAACAAACGTTATCTAAAATATATTACCGTACACCAAAGCAATCACAGATTATGAAGACGACGACAGACACATACCATGCATTTGTTATGTTTAGTTCTTTTTAAATATGTCGCGTAGATTTTCTTTTTTTTCTAATTGCTTCTGGTAAGTAATATCTTTATTTAAAATTAAAACGAAAGACACATACGGATTTTACCGTTTTCGATATTTCAGAGTTTAACGTTGCCAAGCGCACAAATCCAAGCAGAATAGTCAATAACGTCATTGTTCTCCAATGAAAAGTTAGTATGAAAAAGTCCGGGAAATAGGTTCATAAAACTATTGACCGGGGTAATAGTCTTTGAAACTATTGACTGGCAAATAGTCTGTGGAATGAAATAGCACAAATATTTCATTCTTTTTTATATAGAAAAAACATACTGAGGTATAATACTGAAATGCATTAATCAATCTATTCTTGTTCTCTTCTTTATACTTTACTCTTTGTTTTTTTCATTAACGGCATAGCTAAAAGAATAAGATCACAAAGAAAATGGCATATTGAGGTAATTCAAAGGCAGTTGCTATTTTGCAGGTGCCGGCAAAATAGAAAATATGCTATTTTGCCGGCTCTATGTAAGCGGAAGCCAATTTTGCAAGTAAAAACGATTTTGTTTACAGATATGAAATTCAAACTGACTATTATTTCAAAAGCAAATTTAGTTTAAACATTTTTGATTTTGTAGCTATGTGATTGATGTTATTAGATTGTATAATTTGTTTCAGTATCAAATTTATATGCAATGAGATTTTGAACTTTTATTTTTTTACAACATCAAAAATCTCAGATTTTATTCTTATGCATACATCATTGTAGCATTAGACTGAGATTGATTTTAGAAGTTATATCAACTACATGTTTCGACATGATTTCATTGCTACAAATGGATGCTAATTCTTTTTTTTACAAATTCTTATTTTCAATTGGACTCATAAATGTTTGTAAATGATTATATGTAACTCAAATATAGTAACTGCTATCTTATTTAACTATATGAGTGATAATTTGATTCTTTTATGTTGGCTATGCACATTTTCATTGTACTTTTCATTTCAAAAGTAAATATTAAAATTCACTCTTTACAAAGAACCGGCAAAATAACAAATTCATTTTATTGCCGGTCCGGCAAAACAAAATAGCCATTGCAATACTGAGAAATGTGTTATTTTCCCGGCTTTAATTAAGATATATTTGCTAAATAGCCACTGCCTGTTTAAAAATTACATTCAACACCCTTTTGTACGCGTGAGGCATTTTTCTATTACAAACTGTTTAATCTTTTCTTTTCATAATGTAAATGCGTAGAATTGTCGCACCATGATACGTACTGGTGGTTTGTCACGCATACATGCTGGTGGTGTTTCTTGATTTGAGGAATTTAGTGGTATAACTAAGATAATTGATATCCCTTTTACAGTTTTCAGTTTTCCCTTTTAAACTTGTTCTGGGAATTTTCAACCGAATGAGTGATTTTACACCAATTCATAAGATTGGTGGTTCTCCTGACATAGGAGGGAGTTGCATGGCAGTTAAACAGGTAACAGGTCAATAGTGCTTAATTCTGATTACACTCCCCTAACCATTCGGTACCACGAAAATTTTTGACTGAAAATACAACTGGATGTAAGTTCTTTTTTATTGTACTACAACTGCTGATTTCTGACTAACAAGAAATTTGAATGTCAGTACTAATATATCTAGCTGCGGAACCGTAGCTCTTGGGTCCTTAATGATATTTTTTGACAATGAATAATTTTGCGGTCCGCAAATGTAAAAAAATATCAGCTAGTATTATATCACAATATTGTATAACAATTGAAAGTTTTCCCTTTTAAATAATTTACACTTGTACAGACTCAGAATGCTTTGGAAAGCTTAAAAGCCCATAACACATTAAAAATATAATGTTTTATTCAAAGTTCATTATCTAGGACGTGACCTTTATCAATGGCAAGTCATTGCAAAAAGCCTCAATGGTATAGGACATTTGGTTTAATTGTTATATCTAATAATGTCTTTTTACACACATAATAAATAGACGACTGTCTATTGTGAAAGACTGTATGTCTTAGTGATTTATTTTGTTGGGTTTCTGTCTCTTTGACATTTATCCAACATCTCTTAATGAATCATCAGTTTTCCTGGATAAGGTCCTGGTTCTCTCTGGGTACTCTGGCTTCCTCCACCAATAAAAACTGCCTGCCACGAAATTAAAAATAGTATACACCTATTGACTGGTTATGATGGTAATACAGTAGCAAGTTTGTTGTCCCTGAGATACCAACTATTGCTCGAGGCGAAGCCAAGGGCAATAGTTAGTATCAAAGGGACAACAAACTTGCTATTACACTCATAATCAGTCATTAAGTGTTTTATTATACCGAACAAAACAACTTTCTAAAAAGTTTATATACACCACTTTGAAAAAAAACCAAATAGTCACTTGAACATGCACAAGATGAACTATTTGGTTCCTTTTTTTCCCGTGTGTATTTGTAAATATCTTATTTACTGTAATCAAGACCAGGAATCCTTGTGTAATAATTCCTGTGCATATAATAAACGCTAGCTAAAATATATTACTGTATACCAAAGCAATCATAGATTATGAAGACGACGACAGTTCCATACCATAAATTTGTTTTGTTTTAGATCTTAAAATATGTAGTTTTTCTTTTTTAATTGCTTCTGGTAAGTAATATATTTAAAAATTTGAAATTACGACGACAGACACATACAGATTATACCATTTACAATATTTCAGGGTTGAACGCGTTGCCAAGAGCTCAAATCCATGCAAAATAGTCAATGACGTCATTGTTGTCAAATGAAAAATTAGTATGAAAAAATCCGGGAAATATGTTGATAAAACTATTAACTGGGGTAATAGTCTTTGAAACTATTGACTGACAAATAGTCTGTGGAATGAAATAGCACAAATATTTAATTCTTTTTTATATAGAAAAAACATACTGAGGTATGATAATATACAACTATTTACTGGCTTTGAGGACAATAGCAAGTTTATTGTCCCCTGAGGCACCAACTATTTCCCCGACGTGAAGCGGAGCAAAATAGTTGCTGTCGCGGGGGACAATGAACTTGCTATTGTCCGAATAGCCAGTAAATTAGTGTTTTATTATACATAAAGAACTAGTATATATTTGAGACAATGTATGGTTATTCCCTTTGTACAGTTACTCTTACAAAAAAAATGTACAACTGTTCCAAATGAAATATTTTGGGTAACCCATCATTTTTATACGACCGCAAAAAAATTTTTGTGGTCGTATATTGGTATGGCGTCGTCGTCGTCGTCCGAAGACACATTGGTTTTCGCACTCTAACTTTAGTTTAAGTGAATGGATCTCTATGAAATTTTACCACAAGGTTCAATACCACAAAAGGAAGGTTGGGATTGATTTTGGGGGTTATGGTACCAACATTAAAGGAATTAGGGGCCAAAAAGGGGCCAAAAATAAGCATTTTTGTAACTTCCAGACATAACTTGTGTGTTAGTGTATGGATCTCTCTGACATTGTACCACAAGGTTCCATATCACAAAAGGAATGCTGGGACTGATTTTAGGGGTAATTGCCTCAAATTTTAGGAATTAGGGGCCAAAAAAGGGGCAAAAAAACAAGCATTTTTCTAGTTTCATGACAATAACTTGTTAGTAAGTGTATGGATCTTTCTGAAATTGTACTACATGGTTCCATATCACAAAGGGAAAGCTGGGTTTGAGTTTGGGGGTAATTGCCCTAAACGTTTAGGAATTTGGGGCCAAAAAACACATTTTTCTAGTTTCCAGACAATAACTTGTGTTCAAGTGTATGGATCTCTCTGAAATTGTACTGCAAGGTACCATACCACAAAGGGAAGGCTGGGATTGAGTTTGGGGGTGATGAATCATAAGGGGGTTCAAAAAATTTGGGGGGGGGATTTTTTTTTTCCTTTTTTTTCTTTTTTTCCTTTTTTTTTTCTTTTAAAATTTTCCATTTTAAGTTGGTTATTTCTGATTTATATTTAAAAGCAAATAATAATGATATGGTAGGAGATACACACTAAACAGGATGTGTAAATTATTATATAATAAGTATTGTGCAATAGCAAGAAATTTTCAATTGCACAGTATTGCACAATAGCAAGAAATCTTCAATTGCACAGTATTGCGCAATAGCAAGAAATCTTCAATTGCACAGTATTGCGCAATAGCAAGAAATATCCGATAGCACAATATTGCGCAATAGCAAGAAATTGTCAATTGTACAGTATTGCGCAATAGCAAGAAATATTTAATTGCACAGTATTGTGCAAAATAAGATACTTCGTATACTAGTAAATTGCTTATTTCTTGACCAATTTCAATGGGGTTTTATTCTTGAATTCTTTGGGTTCTTTAATATGCTGAATCTAACCATGTATTTAGTTTTTGGATTTTGGGCCCCGTTTTTAAATTGGTCCACATTGAGGTCCAAAGGGTCCAAAATTAAACTTTGTTTGATTTCATCAAAAATTGAATTATTGGGGTTCTTTGATATGCCGAATCTAACCGTGTACTAGTATTTAGATTCTTAATTTTTGGTTCCGTTTTCAAATTGGTCTACATTAAGGTCCAAAGGGTCCAAAATTAAACTTAGTTTGATTTTAACAAAAATTGAATTCTTAGGGTTCTTTGATATGCTGAATCTAAACATGTATTTAGATTTTTGATTATGGGCCCAGTTTTCAAGTTGGTCCAAATCGGGGTCCAAAATTAAATTTTGTTTGATTTCAACGAAAATTGAATATATGGGGTTCTTTGATATGCTGAATCTAACCATGTATTTAGATTTTTGATTTTTGGGCCCCGTTATCAACTTTGTCCACATTGAGGTCAAAAGGGTCCAAAATTAAACTTTGTTTGATTTCATACAAAATTGAATTCTTGGGGTTCTTTGATATGCTGAATCTAACCATGTATTTAGATTTTGGATATTGGACCATAATAGGTGAATGTCCAATTTAAAATTTTTAAGTTCTTAGACCACATTCATTCTGTGTCAGAAACCTATGCTGTGTCAAATATTTAATCACAATCCAAATGCAAAGCTGTATCAAGCTTGAATGTTGTGTCCATACTTGCCCCAACTGTTCAGGGTTTGACCTCTGCGGTCGTATCAAGCTGCGCCCTGCGGAGCATTTTATTTAATTTGAAGTAGACAACGTAAAAATTCTGTGAAGCAATTATCTGTATTGACGTCATAATAATTTGACTGTGCAAATAGCACAGTTGCAGTATAAAAAATCATTTGGATGTTTTGGGAGACGATAAAGAAGGTACGGGAAAATTTCCTGTAGAAAGACTATTAACCTGTTAATCATTTTTGAAACTATTAACCGGTTAATCGCTTTTGAAACTATTAACCAGTTAATAATCTTTTTAAGACAATTTCGTTAAAATAGTAACTTTATGTGTCTATAATCATGATAATTGTATAAAGAAAATACATACTGAGGTATAATAATGCTGAATATGGTGTTAAACAGCAAACATCAATCAATCAATCATCTTATTATTGTCAAAATAGAATTTTTTACCTAAGGGGCTTGAATATACATTGTACAGTGGAACTGTGAAAGCATTGAGCATGGTTAGATACACAGAAACCTTTCAACACCAAATCCAGTCTAGAACATAGCTGTATATTGTAAAGCTTTCAACACCAACACAGTTTAGAACATAGCTATGTATTGGAAAGCTTTGCAGTTGAAATTTATTTGAAATATTTTTTTCTAGCTCAGTGATCCATGATGTTTTGATAAATTACAGATGTGGTTGTATACAGATTAATGGTAACCGACAACTATGGAGAAAAACATTTCTCTCATCACAGACTTGGTTGTTTATGGAATTATTTTAATTTTAAGTTGGTACATGTATAAGATGTTGATCAAGCCTTTTTTATCACCACTACGAGCAGTAAGTTTTCATTTTTTTATTCATTTATTTTTGTGATCATCATTTTCATGTCAAAGTACCAGAATACAATTTTCATTTATGATAAATCCTTTCTATTATAACTTGAATATTAAACCTAACAATTTGGATAAAACGAGATAATTAGAAAACAGTAATGAGACAGCAAACCAACAAGAAAGTGTAACAAAAAAAATCATGCATAAGTTCATATAAAAAAATCATATGAAATATATCATGTGTCAAGAAATAAACTTCAGCACTAAAGTTTATGTGAATTTTATATATATAAAGGTTAAACAGAGCACAGTTGTATGATATCTTAAATTTGTTGACAGGTTCCTGGATTAGCATACTATCCAATAGTAGGAAATATGTTAGAAGCCAGAAGAGCAGAGGCTATGACTAATGCTTTGAGGTATACTATAGAGACAGGAGAAGTTGTTGATAAATTACACCTTAAACAAATGTTATGAAGAGTTTGCACTAGGACTAAGTGTTAGTACTTCAAATTTAGGTGGAGGGGGGATATTACATTACAGTACAAATAAATTGGTATCCAAATTTCAACAGTTGAATAGAGTGGAATTAATGATTTAATTTTACATGCAACCTTCTTGTTTTTTACTGGTATAATAATAATGAGATGTGGTAGGATTGCCAATGAGACAACTATCCACCAGAGTTCAGTTGATGAAGATGTAAACAAGAATAGGTCACCAGACAACCTTTAACAATGCCCAAAACCCATTGTGTATAGTAAGCTGTAAAAGTGATTGAATGACAAAATGTGAAACAATTCAAACAAGAAAACTAATAGTTTGCCTATCTCTCCGCTAGAATACATAAATATTTTTCTAAAACTGTCCTGATGACTGCTGATCAGGCTAAAACAAGTCCTCCACACAAAAGTTATACCTTGCACCATACAAAATGTTGTGAAATGGTTTCATAGTTTTGATTTATTTTCAACAACCTTGTATACTTTTAATTTCCACTTCCTAGGATTCTAGTCTACAATTAAACTTAACTGTTTTTGGTTCATCTATGTTCAGAAACCTTTTAACATTGCAAACCAGTGTTGATTGAAATGCTCTTGTCAACAGCTTGCAATTGAAACATGACCCCATGGAGATTGTGCTTATCATTATACCTTGATGGGATGGTTCCTTTGTAATATCTTATAAAAACTGATACCCTCTTCAGTTGAATGTGAAATCAATGATGAAAAAGTGTATTCTATGGTGTTAGTAAACCTGATTTAATATCATAAACTACCTGGTGCAAAAACATTAATTTCCAACTTGCAACAAAATCAAATTCGGAAAATTTAAGTAGTGGATGATATTGTTTGTCTTGAATATTTTTGGATTTAACTATATGTGCTGTTTTAACTTCCAGTGACCCAGAAGGACAAAAACCACTCTGAGGATTTTTTCTTCTTCATCATTCTCATTTTCATAATAGTGATGAACTAGAACCATGCCCCAGCAAGTCCCAAAAAGGCCATCAGATGTCAATCTCTGTATAGCAATGAACTTGTCTGAAAATGCTCTGATGTTTGATGTCCCACAACCCAGGCAAGTCCATAAAGGCCATCAGATGTCAGTGCAAGCTCTGACTAGCAATGGATTTGTCTGAAATTGCTCTGATGTCCAACAGACCAAGCAAGTCCAAAAAAGGCCATCAGATGTCAGGGTAATCTATGACTAGAAACTTGTTTGAAATTTCTCTGCTGTTTCATAGACCAATCAAGTCACAAAAAGTCTGTCAGATGTCAAGGCAATCTCTGAGCAATAAACAGGTATATCAGTTGCTAAACATGCACAGAAAATTTGTACTTCATGTTTTGTTCTTTTTTCTCTCTACATTTTAAGGTGGATGACACAGTTAAAATCAAAATTGATACGATTTTATTGGTTTGGAGGTCAAGAAAGGTTACTTACTGGGGATCCTAAAGTTTTCCAGCACATACTAGTTACAAATAGTAAAAATTATCACAGACTAGATGCACAGTAAGTACAGTGCTTTTTAAAATCTTCACAAAATTATGGTGTCTTGTCTGTTTATACAGATTAAATTGTTTTATGTTTTGATTCTTTTGTCTTCAACATTCAATATAAGTTTTGTATACTTAAAATTATCTTCTGAGTTTTTCTATTTAGTTTTTGATATATAATTAAGATTCAATTACCCATATTTCAATAAAAGACCACTGCACAGTAAAACTTCATATTTTATCAACTATTTTTAAAAGAGCTATTATGATATTATACTCTAACCATCTTTTTGTCATATTCAATTGAATCTATAGGGATGGTCTTTTTGAGTTACAGTCTAATCAATTTACATTAATTATACATACTGCTAGGTAAAGATCTTGTAAGGTAATAGCTGATTTAGCCCAAATCTCATATAATAACTCATTTAGAAAGAGTTTTTGATCTTTGATAGATTATAGCTAAAATTAGTTTAGTCTACTACATAACAGGCTAAAGAAAGAGTTATAGGCTTAATTATCAGCTAAAGAAAGAGTTGTAGGCTGAACTCCTAATAAGTACATATCATTTTGAGAAAGTTGAAGAACAATTAACTCCCTTCATATAAATTGCTTTCTGTAGAAAGAGTCCTAGATTCTTGCCAAATTAACTCTTATACTTCTAGCTAGGGAAAGAGCCAGCTTATAACCAAATCAGTTTAGAAATTTTTTTGGCAAAATATTTTTCAGGAATAACGAAATTACTACAGTGACAGGAAGTCCAGCATTATTTGTGCTGTCTGGGGAACACCATCATATGATGAGGAAGATTTGTAATCCTGGATTTGTTCTCAGTCTTCTTCATAGTAAGTCCAGCATTATTTGTGCTGTCTGGGGAACACCATCATATGATTAGGAAGATTTGTAATCCTGGATTTGTTCTCAGTCTTCTTCATAGTAAGTCCAGCATTATTTGTGCTGTCTGGGGAATACCATCATATGATTAGGAAGATTTGTAATCCTGGATTTGTTCTCAGTCTTCTTCATAGTAAGTCCAGCATTATTTGTGCTGTCTGGGGAACACCATCATATAATTAGGAAGATTTGTAATCCTGGATTTGTTCTCAGTCTTCTTCATAGTAAGTCCAGCATTATTTGTGCTGTCTGGGGAACACCATCATATGATGAGGAAGATTTGTAACCCTGGATTTGTTCTCAGTCTTCTTCATAGTAAGTCCAGCATTATTTGTGCTGTGTATGGGGAACACCATCATATGATTAGGAAGATTTGTAATCCTGGATTTGTTCTCAGTCTTCTTCATAGTAAGTCCAGCATTATTTGTGCTGTCTGGGGAACACCATCATATGATTAGGAAGATTTGTAATCCTGGATTTGTTCTCAGTCTTCTTCATAGTAAGTCCAGCATTATTTGTGCTGTCTGGGGAACACCATCATATGATTAGGAAGATTTGTAATCCTGGATTTGTTCTCAGTCTTCTTCATAGTAAGTCCAGCATTATTTGTGCTGTCTGGGGAACACCATCATATGATTAGGAAGATTTGTAATCCTGGATTTGTTCTCAGTCTTCTTCATAGTAAGTCCAGCATTATTTGTGCTGTCTGGGGAACACCATCATATGATGAGGAAGATTTGTTATCCTCGATTTGTTCTCAATCTTCTTCATAGTAAGTCCAGCATTATTTGTGCTGTCTGGGGAACACCATCATATGATGAAGAAGATTTGTAATCCTGGATTTGTTCTCAGTCTTTTTCATAGTAAGTCCAGCATTATTTGTGCTGTCTGGGGAACACCATCATATGATGAGGAAGATTTGTAATCCTGGATTTGTTCTCAGTCTTCTTCATAGTTAGTCCAGCATTATTTGTGCTGTCTGGGGAACACCATCATATGATTAGGAAGATTTGTAATCCTGGATTTGTTCTCAGTCTTCTTCATAGTAAGTCCAGCATTATTTGCGCTGTCTGGGGAACACCATCATATGATTAGGAAGATTTGTAATCCTGGATTTGTTCTCAGTCTTCTTCATAGTAAGTCCAGCATTATTTGTGCTGTCTGGGGAACACCATCATACGATTAGGAAGATTTGTAATCCTGGATTCGCTCTCAGTCTTCTTCATAGTAAGTCCAGCATTATTTGTGCTGTCTGGGGAACACCATCATATGATTAGGAAGATTTGTAATCCTGGATTGGTTCTCAGTCTTCTTCATAGTAAGTCCAGCATTATTTGTGCTGTCTGGGGAATACAATCATACAATTAGGAAGATTTGTAATCCTGGATTCGTTCTCAGTCTTCTTCATAGTAAGTCCAGCATTATTTGTGCTGTCTGGGGAACACCATCATATGATTAGGAAGATTTGTTATCCTGGATTTGTTCTCAGTCTTCTTCATAGTAAGTTGTGCAAATTTTGAAGTTTCAGATGGATGGATGAATGGCTATTTAAAGTCCAATGGTAGATTAAATGCATATTCAGGAGGATCTGGATGGGGGTTCCTTAATTTCTGTATTCTTAAATTTTTAGGGCATTTTTCTTTTTCTTTAAAAACAATGCTAATTTTGTAAAATTCTAATGAAAATGAATTTACTATTAAAATTTTCTGTAATTAGAGGATTTCTTTATTCTGTACATCATTCTTTTCTGTTATCAGTATTGAAATACCTTGTTCTTTTATCTTCCACAGTTACTCTTTATATATTTGCACTCCATTATTCTCTATGCTTGATATATTTTGTTAATTTTTCTCTATTTTTATTTTTGGCCAATATTCTCTACTCTGTAAACCCCATCCAGACCCTCTTTCAGGATGAGAACATGATAATATGATATGAGTATAAACCCTGCTTTGTACTAGACTGACAGGCTGTGCCAGATTTTTAACATGCTAGCTTACAAGGTTCGCAGGAAGACATGACACCCTATTCTGATGCCAAGTCAACCAGTATAAATTCTCTTACTCCTGAATGCCACGTGCTTAGCTGAGAAGCAGAAAATACCAATTTTCAAGTCTTTGGTTTGACCCAGCCATGGTTCATAAACCCATTGACCTCCCGCACTTGAGACGAACACACTGCGACGAGAGGAGTTTCAGAGAATATCTTTTAAAATCATTTTAAATAATTATATAATATATTGAAGACAACTGAGTAGCAATAAAACTACTGTGGATTCAATTATTTTTTAGGATACTATGGCTTCCTTAACAGGTGTATTTTCTTGACATGACCTGCAAATTTTATTTGTGTTTGCCTGATGTATAACTGAAACCAACACCACATGTGGTGTTGTCACTTTCACATAAGAAAAAAATTAGGTTTAGGTGATCTCTTTGACAAGACATTTTACCCTGTACCTGCTCTCTTTTCTGGTGGTCATATAATAACATGAGGAGTAATAACTGTAAACCCTGATTAAAACCCCCCTCACCAAAATCATTATTACCTAACTTAGACTTGTCTGAGAAGCTTATAATATTTTTGAGCCTATCTTTAACTTTTTTTACTCACTTTCATTAAACAGCTATGATTCCAGTATTCCAAGAAAGGGGGAATGCATTATTCCAACTGTACAACCAAGCATTATCAGAATCTAGGACAGACACTGCAGATATAGATATTCAAGCTACCTTAAGTCGTTTAGTAAGTTTAACATATGTGCATAAATTATTTATTTGTAACTTTAGTTTGTTTTATATGGTTGCTTGAATTATGAATATTTATTTTATAGGTTAACTGATTGTCTGCTGTTTATGCCATTAAAATATAATTTTCCTGAAAATCCATTCACGATTTCACTGTCAGTATAATGTATAATACATGTACTAGAAAAAGTGTGAAACTTTTAAAATGTATAAAAACAACAGAAGTGTCCTTGTAAAGCAAAATATTGTATTTGTATCATGAAATTTTGTCCCTATCTATGAAATAATGTCTAGAAAAGTCCATATACAGACAATATTTCATAGATGAATAGTATTAGTATGAAATTTTGTCTTGTTAAAGTGAGGTTATCCAAGGTTATATATATTTCATAGATGGATTGTCATGAAATTTTGTCTCATGAAAGGGAGGCTATAAACATTTAATATTTTGGATAATGATATCAGTGTTTAATTTGATTGATAATAAAAAACAAACCTGCATAATTAATTTATATTCATGGCAGAGGATTTCTCAGGAAGACATAATTAGATAAAGAAATATGTTCATGGACAGAATTTCACAGGGAAATATTGTCATGGACAGTATTTTATAGTGAAACATTGTCCAGAAGGAGGTTACAAAATTTCATGGACAAGGAAACTATTTCATAATGAAATTTTGTCCTGGACAGTATTTCATTATGTAACAGTGTCCGCTGACTATATTTTATATGAAATTTTGTCTGACGGACAATATTTCATGGGGGACATTATTTTATGATATATATTGTTCCTTGAATGGTTAAGTTTTCATTGTCCCGAATCTGCATGAAATACTGTAAATTCAGAAATTATTGCATGCATTTATTATTGCATGCATTTATTATTGCGATTTTTGACGAATGGACAAAAATGCAAAATTTATTATTGTGATTTCAGGAAAAACTGCATACAGTTAAATGAACCAGATATCAGAATGTGATTTCTTATTATTGCGATACTCACACAGTTGCATTATTCACATTAATAAAAACCTTGCAATAATTTCTGAATTTCCAGTATTTACCACTGGAGGTTAAGTAATCAACAACCAATCAATCTATCCCATTTACCTTTTTTGGGGAAAGATGGCTTTCATCTTTATGATTAAATATATATTAAGATTTATGGATGAAGAAAAATAAGTTTTCTATGTTTCAGACATTAGATGTGATATGCCAGTGTGGTTTCCAGTATGACTTACAGTCTTTAGAGAATCCAAAGTCAACTGGTGTAATGAGATTTAGACATCTTGTGGATTCTGTTAGAACCACGTAAGCTTACACTTAAATCCAAATTAAATAAGTAAACACAAGGCTTTTGCTTGAAAAGTGTACTATTATTTATGTCCACTTATTCATATCGTACTCCATTTAGTATGATACTAGAAATATCAGTTCATACAACTGCCACAGTGGTCGTGTAAAAAAGTGTGCTTGCCTTGAGTGCAGGAGGTTTGGGTTTTTATCCCATTTACAGTCAAATTAAAGTCTTGAAAATTGATATTTGCTGCTTCTCCACTAAGCACACTGCATTCAGGAGTAAGAGCAAAGGCTGGTCGGCTCAGAGTTAAAATAATGGGTCTGGGTAGGGTGACATGTCTTCCTACAGATTGTTACCTTGTAAACTAGATGTTAAAAATACAGCTCATCATATAAATCTAGTACAAAGCAGAGATCATATTCATATTACATCAACATATTCTCTACCTGTTATTCATGTTATATTTGCTACTGGAAGTTAAACACACATTCATCATCATTAATTTATGCTGGAAAATGATAACAGTTCATAACATTAAAAAACAAACTATTCATAAGGTCATAGTAGAATAATTTTTATTAACATTGCAGTTAGGTGGTATTGTTATTAAGTTAGTTTATATCAACTGGAGTAGAATGAGCATCTCAAATTATTTAATATCTAACACAATAATTCTGTAGTCATTTCTTCTGAATGTAACACATCTAGTTTAGATAGTTTTTTATTTTTTGGTTTGTTTTACATGTAATTAATTTTTATTACTTATATGCAGAATTCCACTTTTTGTAGTTTTGTAGATTTACTGCCTTTTTCAAGACTACTTCCTACAAAGAAAAATAAAAAAACAGCAAAAGATAGAGAATTTATTGTAGAATTTACCAGCAAAATTATTAAAGAATACAAAATGCAAGAATTTAATGGTAGGTATATTGCTATATAGAAATAAGGATATGTGGTATGATTGCCAAGGAGACAGCTATTTAAAGAGACTAGTAAGGATGTGGATATAAACAAATATAGGGCACTGTACGGCCTTAAACAATGAGCAAAACCCATTCTGTATATGGATATTTTACACATTACTCATAAAAGAAAATCTCTTTTATTATTATCTTGCCTTTTTTAAAGAAGAAAGGAACCTTAGAATTAATGATTTTTTTTAATCAATTTGATTCTTATTAGACATTAACCATCCATTAATTCATTATACATATGTATATAATTAAAATACTTTGACTTAGTTGTGCCAATTCTGTTTCTGTTTCAGGAAATCTACCCTTTTCAATAGTAAAATTAATGGCAAATCAATACCTGAATTAATTCTTGTTATGCATCTACACACCCAAATCTACAATTAATTATCAAATATAATAAATAAAAGGGTGAATATATTTATTCAATAACTGCTTAAAACTACATGCTCAAATAAATACCAGATAGCAAATATGGGACTGGGAAAGTCCTAACTTTTTGGTGCATTCATGTAAAGCTTCTTGCATGATGAAACAAAGAAAACAATATTGAAAAATAGTTAGTGCTTTTTAAAAGTCATGATTGAAAAGTTGACCTTTTTTCTACAGAAAATAAACATAGAGACTTGTTAACTTCATTAATGTCTGCCAGAGATTCCGAAGGATCAGGATTATCCGATAAAGAATTATTTGGTCAAATCATTGGATTTATTTTTGCTGGATTTGATGTAAGTACTGTTAATTCAAAAATATTTGCATGCATTTATTATAAAAAAAATTTAACAATGGACAAATATTTGAGATTAATAATAGCGATTTTGGGAAATGTTTTGCATACAAATAATGCTATCAAAATTTTCGAAACCTATTTTGTCGCAGTTTTCACAATTTACAGTATTGACGATAGACCTTACAATCTTTATATAATAAAAGATTTACCTAAATATGCATTATGTTTAAACAGATGTCTGTAAATTAAAGTTATTTCATTATAAATAAGGGAGACAACTATAGCTATCCATAGTATATATCTGTTCTGGACCATATGAGTATTTGGACCGTACGCGTATGGTCATGACCATATTGGTATATACTCATATGGTCCGACCATACGTGTATGATCCGGGTAATTAACATGATGGACATTGAAAAGGTTTTATAATAAAAGTGTTTCTAAAAATGAATTTTTCACTTATACAATCATATGGTAACCATTGTTACATGATTAATGACATAAAGTGAATTTTATTCACAAGTTAGAAATATTATAGTATAATCTTTTTTGCGTGGTCATTATCAATTTGTTCTTGTTGACTTCCGGTTCCGGTTGTATAGCAGCAAGTTTTTTACAGCTCACAGATTTTTAGAATTTTAAAGTGTTTTAATAGTCTGTTTTCCATCACTTTTTAGCAAAGTCACTTATATATATACATAAATCACCTAAGCAATATTTCACAGTCCGGAATTCCACCTTTTTATTGTGTACATAAAGTTTTATCCCATGCACCTGTATATTTTTGCACGCCAAAATGGCGGTCACCTTACAAGTTCAAAAATTTGAGTTTGGTACCCCTTTTAACTTAGACTAGCATAGCTGTCGTGATCTTATCATCAAGTGCAACTATTAAATGAACTTTCGAAAATACCTTTATATTCACTTAGAACAATTTTTTACCGGCAGTGCCAGCCTGTCTCCCTGTTTGAACTTTTAATGCAGAAGTCATACTTTTTACGATATTAGAACATTGTTTACCGTCACGTTAGCTTTTTATGAACTTTTAATCAACGCCAAGATAGTTTTTATGAACTTTTTATCAACGACCTATGAACTTTATCTTCATCCTAAAGTTATCCGTACTTAGTCTTATATTCAATACTTGGTATCATGTCGCACCTATCAATTCGATCAAAGAGGACCCGTAGACCAGCACAAGTCTTTACACCCTCAAGGCTTCAACCGTGTGTAGAAAATAAAAGTGAAAATGTTCGTACAAAAACTTACGCACTGAACAGAAAGAAAGCATTAAAAAAGAAAATTGAAGTTTCTGATAGGGAATTCTCAGTAGTTGAGATTGTAAAAAGGGGCAATTTAGTTATTGAATGTGATGCTGGATTATTTTAGGTTTTCAAAGCAGAACTTTATAGACATTTTAACGACCCGTCTTGCTCAAAAGTTCACTCTAATACTAAAACTGTAGATGAAGAAGGTCTGACAGTGGAAGAAAATATCTCTGTAAAACTAGCCAACCAAAAAAGACAATTGTATAAAATCAATCTCTATAACACAACTTCTCGTATTCTTGTCAATGGCTCACAGTTCTTGGAGTTCGTGAAGGTGGACCTACCAAAAGTGCTAGAGACTCTGGATAAAAATCCACTACTAAAGGAAAAAATGAGAGTATCAGAAGTGCATGTCTAGCAGGTCTTGCTCAATTAGAAACATCATCAAACCCTAATATTGGTCATGATACACAGCCTGAGGGAAATTGCGGAATTACTACACCAAAATTATATAAACTGTCAATTTCTGATATGTATTATAATGAATTAACTGAAGATCTCCAATGTGATCATATTCGAGGACCCCCACTCGACTCTCAATCGGTATCTGAAACTCAAGATGTCAGCAGTGTAGAAATGTGTTTCCTATCTGTAAACACGTCGCCTATAGACATAGATTTACTACAAGATACAAACTCCGACATTATATTTTTTAACGACAATCATGTCCTGCCTTCTCCAACAATCTCTGAACTAGCAAAGGATAATGATAATACACTTATTAATGAAAGTCATGGTACTGATGTTACTATATCTGAGCCTAATGTAAGACCAAGTCATTGTAATGTCAATCAACTGTTACATATTGCATCACCAATGCCAACCTTTAAAAACTCTGAACTCACTATTCTCGAACAACAGTTAAAAAAGAAGGAAAAAGAGTTAGAAAAGTGGGAAAAAGAACTAAAGGAACATGAATACGACCAAAAAGCAGTTGCAAAACAATTAGCTCTATCTCTTTCAAAAATCTTAGCATTGGAAAAAACTGTGACTGATCTAGATCATTCAAATAGATTACTCAAATCCCGTTTTTGTCTCGCCTTGACCGAGTCAAAAAGCGAGACATAGATATGCTGTTTCCGACGGCGATGGCGTCAACAATGTATTAGTTTGTGATTAGGTCAATTTATTGGGAACCACTAGTGGTAGGTCAATAATATTTGGTATGCAGTTGTATATGCATTGGCATATCTCATTTCCATGGAGATTATTTGGCTCCGCCCCCTAAGTCATGGTGTATAGACTTTGAAAATTTTGCTAAGTTAACATGTATTAGTTTGTGATTAGGTCAGTTCAAGGGGAACCATTAGTGGTAGGCCAATGTTAATTGGTGTTCAGTTGTATAAGCATTAGCACATCTCATTTCCACGGAGAGTATCGTTTCCATGGAGATTATATAGCCCCACCCCTGATCATGGTTCATTGACTTTTAAACTTTTACATAGTTTACAAGTTAATGTTTGTGTTTAGGTTTGTTTAAAGGGAACGACTTATAATAAGTCAATGGTATTTGGTATGCAGTTGTATTAGCATTGGCACATCTCATTCCATGGAGATTGTTTAGCCATGTACCTTCAGTCATGGTTCATCGACTTTGAATATTTGTATTACTTACATGTTAAAGTATTGTTATTTTAATTTCAACATTTGCATAATCAAAATTACAAAAAGGCGAGACATATCTCTGTGATAACAGTTTATCTAATAGAACAAAACAAAAACCAAGAAAACCAAACCAATGAAACATCTATGAACTCTAGTCCGTTGTTAAATCCAGATCATACCTGTATGTCATCTCAATATTCAGCAAGTCATAATTTTAATAACTCAGACATTCAAACTCAAAAGTTACTTGATACTCAAATGGAATTCCTGCGAATGCAAGCTACTCAGTCCGAAAGGCTGTATGAATTTATGTCCAGAATTTGCTCTTTGGAAGTAGAGAAGGTTTCAATGAAGCACGAAATTGAAAAGATAAACAATAAACTTTTAGCATCTAATAACTCTAACTTAGCTCAACAAAATATACATCAAGCTCACCCCCATATGAGTCAGCATTTTAACATGGGGAAACCACCTACTACTGTACCAGTTATTCATCCTCAGCAGTTTGCACCAACTCAAGGCACCTCTGTGGTACGACCATATTTTGTACATGTTCCTACAGCTCAACCTAGAGCAGAGCAAGTCTTCCAAATGCACACAAACCCAAATTTTGGCCCTATAACAAGGAACCATTCACAATTCAACTATACATATAACAACAAAAATATAAGACTACAGGGAGCTCATGTGGGGGCAAAAGCCCATAGTAAGAAGCAAGATATGAACTTAAAAATCACTTAGAATGTGCCCGTGAGAATGGAATTTGTGTAAAAAAATAACACTCCAAACAACACAATAGTGAGTGCAGTAGATGCCCGAATGTGAAACTTTGCCCACAAATAATTTTTTTAGAGAAAGGCCAAACATCAAATCATCCGCCGAGAATTCAAGGAACACACATGAACAACTGAGTTTTGTAACATTGAACATTGAGTGCTTTACATCCAATAAGGCATATTTATTAACTTTAATGAAAACCAATTCAATAATTGCCATTCAGGAACATTTTCTGTATAATTGTGAAAAACCTAAATTGGAGAGATTCTGTGCTGAAAATAATTGGAGTTGTCTTATAAAGTGTATTGATGATACAGATCCCATTTCTAATTATGCAAAACTGTGAGGTATGGCAGGTACAGCGATTTTATGGTCAAATCAAATAGCATAGAAAATTACTGTTCTAAACTAGGGGAGTCATTGAGTTAGTGCAGTGACACTTAATACTGATATTTTAGATTTTAACCTGTATTGTGTTTATATGCCATGTCAAAATTATTCAATGGATTTATTTGAAAGTACTTTGGACGAACTAGGTGAAACTATGACAAAGTATAGTAACTCAGCAACTATAATATTAGGTGACATGAATGCCAGTGTGAATAGGTTAAAGGGTTATCGCCAAGATAAAGTTTTAAAGACATTTTTGGAAGAGAAACATCTGTCTGTGCCAAAGGACTACCCAGAAGACCATACTTATTACCACCATAGCGGGAAACAATCTTCCCAGATTGATTAATATATATTTATATCTTCTACTCAAATAGATAAAATCTCAGATATAAAAGTCTTGATAGATGAACCGCTTAACACCTCATCTCATTGGTCAGTGCAGGCAACCTTGTCATGTTTCTTTTCTGCTAAAACTATTAAGTCTGGAAAGTCGATTGCAACATTGAAGAAAGTGAACTGGAAAAAACTTGACTATGATAAATATGAACAACTACTTCAACAGATTAAGCTATATGTTTATCGATAACAGTATTTTTTCATTTATCGAAATGAGCTGTGAAGAACTTTTTATATTTTGACTACAACCACTTTTGAATGTGCACCAACAATTTCTGTTGGAAAAAGGAAACGCTTATGGAATTCTGTGCTGCAACATCTCTGTAAACAAAGCAAGGATGCACATTGGTAATGGAAAGCCCTTGGATGTCCGTCTGACAAAAACGACCCTGCAAACAGAAAACATTTAGATATGAAAAGAGAACTTAGAAAATTTCAAAGACAACTGAATGCTGAAGAGCGACATTCTCTCTATCAGAACATTATGAACGCTCATTCTGGTGACAATGCCACATTTTATAAAATTATTCGCCGTCAGAGGCAGAGTGGAAAACGCTTACTTGACCGTCTGATTGATGACATTCACTTTGATACACCTGATCTTATTCGTGAGGGGTGGACAAATTATTTCACTGACTTATCTACTCCTTCGGAAAAACTGCCAAATCAACAGTACCGTTCTCAAGTTGAGCTAGACCGTACTTTGCTTCAAGACATATTTGAGCATGAAGATGAAAAAACTATTGAATTTGATATTGAAACTGTTCAAAAATGTATTTCAAAAATGAAAACTGGAAAAGCTGCTGACCAATTTGGAATTTCTGCTGAATATTTTAAATATGGAGGGGAAAAACAGCCAAAATACTTACAAACTTGATGAATGAAGCATTCAAATTTAAGCGTGTACCTCAGTGTTTCAAAGAATTATAAGTATTGTTTCACCGTTGTTCAAAGGTCATGGAAAACCTATCTGCCTACAAAAATCTTATCGACGTATTACAGTTTCTCCTGTAATGGGAAAACTGATGGAATCGGTACATCTTTGTTTAGAGGAACCTAAACTACTAGAGATACAGAGCAGACTTCAACGTGGCTTTACTGCCGGGGTCAATCCTACTTTTGCGGCACTTCCCCTTACTGAGGCAATCATAGAAGCAAAAGAATTAGGACAAACGTTATATACTACTTTTGTTGATGCGTCATCGGCTTTTGATGTTGTTTGGCATGCCTCTCTGCTAAAAAGGATATTTCAAAGTGATATTTCTGGACAAAGTTGGCAAATTTTAAATGATTGGTACACAAATATGAACTCTGCAGTCAGTTGGGAAGGCAAATTAACTGCACCATTCTCTGAACTCCAAGGCGTCCGTCAAGGCAGTGTATGGTCACCTTTCACCTACAAACTTTTCGTTAATCCACTAATTAAGAAGTTAGAACATGACAGTTTGGGTTTTAAAATTGGAAATGTTTTTATAGGTACCCCAATGTGTGCAGACGATCTGCTACTTGTCTCTTCCAAACCTGATGAACTTCAGACTATGATAAATTATACTTCCCATTTTGCAGAGACAGAAGAATACAAGATAAGTAAGGAAAAAACTAAAGTTATGATTTGGAACTCATCTTTAAATTGCAACCTTTGGAATCAAATGGAAAAAATTCACATTGGCTCAGAAGCATTAGAAACTGTAGAAAATTATACACATATAGGAATTGATAGAGACTCTCGTGAAGTAGAGGCAACAAAGACAATTGTTGGAAATCGTCTAAAAACTGCAAGACAGACTTCTTATGCACTGATGGGCTCAGGATTACATGGTTTAAATGGACTTAACCCAGAGGTGTCATGTAAACTCTGGTCAATGTATGTGGTTCCACGTTTTTTATTTGGACTTGAAATAGTCAATCTTAGTGCTAAAGATATTTCCCGTTTGGACATCTTCTGAAATAACTTTCTGAAACAAATTCAAAATCTTCCCGCTAGAGCCTCCAACGCTGGAGCTTATCTACTTCTAGGTCAACTACCTATTACTGCACTTCTACATAAAAAGATTCTGATAACGTTTGGTACCATAGCTAGAAGCGACTCTGTTGAAAATGATCTTGCTAAACGTCAACTGTCTACAAAAGGAAAAAATTCAAAAAGCTGGTTTATTAGGGCTGACAAGATTTTGAAGCAGTATAATTTACCGTGTGCCTCAGAGGTTTTATTTAAACCAGAGTCAAAATACATGTGGAAAATGAAAGTAAAAAAGTCTGTTGATGCTTTTTGGTCTGAAAAGCTGTTTACTGAAGCCAAATCGAAATCGTCACTGCGGTACTTAAATATCAAAAACTGTAAAATTGGTGCTCTCAATTCTATATGGAAGAGTGCAGGTTCGGAACAAATGTGTATACTGAAAGCCTGTTATAAAACCAAAATGCTTTTGGATACATACATTCTACAATACCACCGCTCAAAATTTTCAAATGGTCTAAAAACCTCAATTTGTCCACTGTGTGAGGAAGGAAACTGAAAACTTAGAACATTTCCTAGTCTTATGCTCTGCTTTAACAAGTATTAGAGACATTTTTATTATCACAAAACTTTATACAGTTGTTGTACCAAAGATTGGAACTGCTGCGTGGTCAGACATATGTGTTAGCAACTCTAAAATGATACAATTAATCTTGGACTGTAGTCTTTTTGAATGGTACTCTGTGTTACAGAAAAATGACATTACTTTGGTGGAATCAATTACAAGAAGTCTGTGCTACTCTCTTCATGAAAAACGAAGTGCTCTCCTTGAAAGTAATTAAAACATTTATAAGTTCTAAAGTTTACCAAACTCATAAGTTGTAAATAGAAAAATTGTTAACTGTATAGTGACTGGAAACAGACTGTAAATATAGAGAAAAATTTTACTGGATAAACTCCAGGTTCTCCTGATAGAGGAGGGAATTACAGAAGGTAACAGGTAACTTACAAAACAGAAATGTCGACTTTGGATAATAACTTCTAGAAATATCTAAATGAAGTGTTGAACAAGAAGTCAATTATTCTACTCACAAGCACTTAGTACATTGAATCCTCTTTTTTATAGATTCATTTATTTTGGTATTTAAATTGGTTTTAAGTAAATTAGAATTTCTTAAATATTTCAAATTGATGTAAGTTATTTCATGATTTCTACTTCCTATTTATACGATCTAAGTTAACAATAACAGTAAAATGGTATGAATCGGAGAGAAAACACATCAATGAAATGAAAAAAATGGAATGGATCGGAGAGAAAACACATTAATTAAATGAAAAATAAGTAGAAATAAGAAGAACTTTGTTTTAAAAAAGTAACAAGAAAAAGTTATTTTGATTCGCCATAAGTCAAATATACAACACAAGCTCTAAGGAGTTTTTGGTCAAATATAAAAAAAAAATATTTAACCACTCAGGAAAAAAGAAAAAAAAGGGTCAATGCCCAAAAATCCTGTGGTTTCACTTACGGATGAAATGTTTGACAGGATAAATGACTTTAAATTGATTCTTACGAAGGCAAGATAACAAATACACCAAGATTCAGACAATATGTCAAAGGTAAAGGAAATCATTTAGTAACTTTTTAGCCGTCTTGGGTTTAGAGAATGAGATTTGTGAAGTTTTTTTATTTATTTAAAAAAAATACCTATATGGTCTAAATACCCATATGGTCCGGCCCGTTAATGACCAAACGAGTATATACTCATATGGTCCGACCATACACGTATTGTTGGACCATATGAGTATACGCATATGGTCATGACTATACGTGTATGGTCCAAATACTCATATGATCCGGAACATATCCATGTTTAATAGTTAATTTCAGACTGTTTAAATGCTTAAGATTCAACATTGTTGACACAGAATTTTTTTTTTAAAGGTACAAATCTCTTTTTTTGGAGTAGTTTATCCACCATTAAGTGACTTAGGATATTGTTTTGCCCTTATCTCTCTCTTTTTTCTGAAATACCCAGGTTTTTCAGGATATTTTTGGTTTTATCTGCAGATATTGACCTGATAATGTTTTTTTTTTTATTGTATAATGATAAGCTACAGATCTCTTTTGAGCATTGTTCTAGTTGATAGAATTACTTACTCTGGTATGAAAATATCACTGGTATTTGTAGTACACATTTTCTATAGGCTTGAATGCAGACTATTGCAAAACCATGAAATCAAATATCCCCAAAAATACACTTATTCTTAATCCACAAAAATTGGTACACAAGAAATAAATAAATCCACAGTATTTGGAAAAAAACCTTTTAAAATACTCTAAATAAACTTCCTGTAAGGTTAAATGAAAAATGTTTTCTAAATTAATCATAACTTTGAAATTACCTTTGTTTTCATTTCAGACAACCGCCACAGCTATGACCTGGATTTTATTACAGCTAGCACAGTATCCAGAAATACAAGATAAAGTAAGAGCAGAGGTGAATCAAGTCTTCCCAGATATATCTGAATGTGACCCGGAAAAGTTAGACAAGTTAAAATACCTTAACTGTGTTATTAAGGAAACCATGAGGTAACTTTTGATAAATGGTACCATAGAAACATGGAGTTTCAAAAGATTTAATAAAGGTTACTATAGAACATTTAATTTTAGAGTACACAAACTGTATCTTTAACAAGTTGTGTTATATATTAAAATGTTTACTTCAGTTATTATGGACAATGTTATTTTGATAAAATATTTCTATATAAAGATTTTATTATGGAGAAAGATATTTATTTTTGATAAAAATTAACTGTAAAATCATTAGATTTTAGAATCCAATTTTATTGTCTTGCCTGCAACAAGTTTTAAAATATGAGACATAGTGATGCCACCGCTGGAGACAGCCTAAACCAATTGTATAAACTTCATAATTCAGAAGGTAGACCACCTGGAAACTTCTTATCTTGTAATAGAAGCCTTAGGTTCTGAAGCTTCTTTCTGCCATATGTCCATTGTCCTCGATCTCATTTTTCGTGGTTCAACAACTGCTTAAAAAACTGTTATTTTTTTATCACATGGTTTTCTCACTTAAAAGGAGTTATAGGATAACTGTATTTGGTAAATTGGATCCTTGCAGGGTGTTCATGTCCATCAGCCAAGGTTTACCTGACCTTGACCTCATTTCATGGATCAGTGATGGAGGTTAAGTTTTCATGTCAGGTCCATATCTCAGATATTATAAGCAGTAGGTCAACTATATATTTGGTGTATGGAAAGATTGTAAGATGTACTTGTCCATCTGGCAGGGTTCAACTGACCTGCACCTCATTTTTATGGTGCATTGGCCAGTGTTTAATTTTTGTGATTTCTCAGATACTATAAGCAATAGTTTAATTAAGTACCGTTTCATCTACCCTTGACCTCATTTTCATGCTAAGGTCTGTTTTGGAGATACTATAAGCAATAGGTCAACTTTATTTGGTGTACTGAATGATTGGAAAGTGTGCATGTCCCTAATGCAGGGTTTCCTCTTACCTTGACTTCATTTTCCTGGTTCATTTGGCAATGTTTTAGTTTTTGTCTTACGGTTGGTTTCTCAGATACTACCCGGTATAGACAATAGGTCAACTATATTTGGTGCAGGGAATGATAGCAAGGTGTAAATTGATAATGTTAAGTTTACCTGTAGTTAAACTTATCTTAACGACTCAATATATATTTAATTAAAATAAATCTTGTTTTACAGATTATTTCCACCAGTTCCATGTTTCTTTAGGAAGAGTTTACATGATGATGTTATAAATGGCTATAAAATCCCGGCTGGCACTGTTGTAGGACTCCATGTTGGTGCATTACATAGGTACACATAATAATGGTCATTAGAATGACTACAAAATCCAAGCTGTACATGTCCATCTGACATTGACCTCTTTCACAGTTTAATGATTAAGGGTTAAGTTTCATGATGAGGTCGGTTTCTCAGATAATATTAGTAAAAGGTCAAATATATTGGGTGCATAAACTGATTAAAATGTGTACTTGTCTTTCTGACAGGGTTCATCTGACCTTAACCTCTATTTCATAAATCACTGCTAAAATTAAGCCAAAAAAAATTTCTAAATAAAAAAAATGTTAATCAGTAAAGAAGGCAATTCTTTTCAGCATAGGCAATCTTGTTATTGATCTTACGGGAGTTATTTCCCATTATTGTTTAAAAATTTAGGTTATAGAATAGGTGAGAATACAGAACTATGAACATGTGTAATCATCTTCAAAACAGTGGGGGAAATATATCTGTGTCCTCTGAACATGATGAAGCAGTTGGGGGAGGGGGGAGTTGGATTTTGTGTGTCCTGCTGCTGGCAGGGTGAAGCAGTTGTGAGAGAGTGGAACTGTATATATCTGTCCTCAGAGTGAAGCAGTTTAGGGGGAGTGAGAGTATTTGTCTCCTACCAGTGAACAGAGTGATGCAGTAGTGAATGAGATGAAGTATATGTAAACTCTGTTGACAATAACTTGTCAATAAGTCTACTTTCATTTTGCAATGTTGTATATTTTAATGTTTGATTTAACAGTAAATTAAAGTTGATTTATTTTAGATTGAACGTGGAAGATGGAGATACCTTTAGACCAGAAAGATTTTTATCACCATCAGATTCCAAGGCATTTATGCCATTTGGTAAAGGACCATACATGTGTATTGGAAATAAATTTGCTCAATTGGAAATTAAAACTGTGATATCAAGACTGATCAAAGAATTCAAGTTTGAATGGAAACCTGGATTTACATTCCGTAGGGTGATGAGTATAACTATTAGACCACACCCTTCATTGGTATTGAGAATATCCAAAATATGACAGATTTGTATTGAAAAAAAATTAAAAAGTTTTAAATACTCATGAAATCAATTTGTTTTAACAAAATACAACACTTTATTGTCAAAACTTTTCCTAATGAAAAGTTATTTATTCCTTCACTACACCTTATTGTATTGATTTGCAAACCCCATGCACTGAAACTGCAAAAAAAGTGTTTTTTTTAAGACTGTATTCATCTCTCATATTTATTTATTTAAATAAAACAGAATTGCTGGATAGTGTATTATTTTATTCTTGGGTAACAATTAAATTTAAAATAAAAACATTGGAGGAGTTCAATGGTCAGAAAAAACAGATTTTATTTTTTTAGCTTTTAACTTTTATGATGTTTATATATATATTTTTTATTGTTATTATTATTGATTTAATATGATTAAACGTTGATTTTGATAAGCTTATTGTTGATGTGTACATTTTCATTGCTATACAGTACAATGAAATATACAATTGTTTATAAATCCAATGAAGGGCCTGAAGAGCATGATAACAAACATGACAGAAAACAATATGGAGAGAGAGAAATATGAATATTTTTTTAACACAGATTAAAGATGTCTTAAAGTGGTGTATTATAATTCCTGCGGTAAAGTTTTGAGTTAAAATGTACCAACAGGCTGACAAAAAAACTAGGAAAGGGGCATGTAAAGCAGCGGACCTATTGGCATGTTAATCACAACACCAATAGACAAAGAGTTCATTTTCAGATAAAAGAAATTCCTGGAGAGTCAACATAACAGACAGTAAAATTCAAAGCATAATAATTTCTAGGTGTGAAGCAATGATTTTGTCATGCCTATGATACACTGGCAAAAATGCCACACATGTGTACATGTGTGACACATGCGTTTCACATGTGTGTCACACGCATGTGAAAGAGACGTTTAATGCCACGCATGTGACACGTGTGAAAAACACATGTGATAAGCATGATAAACACATGTGATCATGCGTTTCACATGTGAATTACATGCGTAAGGAAATACACCTGTGATACATGCGTGATTACTGCATGTAAAAGGCATGATGCCTGTATTAAATATTTTTCAAAATGTCCTCTTATTTGTTCAATACCATGATTGTTGACATGTATCTTAGTTCTCATGTGAATTACATGTGTTTTTTAACACATGCGTTATACATGTGTTTTCTATATATATACACAGGCAAATTTTGTTCACGTAAATTTCTTGCGAGATTCACCTCAAACAAGCTTATACATGAAACTCATGTGCAATTAATGTGAATTGAGCTTTAACGTGAAATTCATGTTAAATTTTTCATGTGAAACTAACGTGAATCAAGCTTTCATGTTAATTTTTCTAAAATGAAATTAAGGTGACTATTGAGCATCAATCACACAAATTCACAGTATTTGAGCATATTTTAGATAAGTTAATGCTAATCTAGTACACATTCTATTTTGATATATATAAATATTCTTCTTGGTCTTGACTATGTGTTCATACTTCCATTATATTTTACTTTCTTGATCCTAAACAATACAAAAAATATTTATCTATCAACTCCCAACTCACAATATCTCCAATGCAAGAGATAGGATGCAATAAAACAAAGAAGGCAAGCACATATCCAGGTCACCTTAGTTCACTCCTAGAATTTTTTCGGTTATGGTCAAGTCTCAATACTTTTTTTAAAAGTGATGTAAGGATTGGTGATTCATTTATAGAATATGTATGCACTGATGTGTATTTCATTTTTAATATGTTTGTACAAGTCATGTTGTGGTTATCAGTCATGAGACAATGCAATCACATTGTGGAAATTGTCTTACTTGCAAAAGATGCCAATTTTTCTTTTGAAAGTTTTGAGGAAAAAAGTAGTTCACCCTGCCACATATTCATGTGCCTGTTTCAAGCCAGGAACCTTTTCAGTGGTTGTCTAAAGTCTCATCCTAATAAAAATAAAAATATTTAAAGAATTTGGTGTTGATGGAAGCTCTTTGATTGGTATAGACTCTGGATAATTAAGTAGATCATGACATATACCATATTGAAAGTCTTGCTGTTATTTACAACCATTTCCTTCTTATTTCATATATGTATTTCAGTTTTTTTCATTTAACACCAATCTTAATAAGGTTAAGGCAAAAAGAAAACAAATGTTGACAAACAACAGGCATATACCATTAGAAGATCTCAAAGTTTGGCTGCACAATAAACTAAAAATTCTTGTTATTTCAAATATTTATATAAAATTCAGTTTAAAACATGCATTTTCCATTTTTAGACTATAATTGTCATGTTGACACAATAATTTGAATTTGAATTGTATTATATTCTGAGAGTACTTGTGGTTGAAATAATATACACAATATTTAATTTCATGTGTTTAGATTTCTTAAATACACCACTCCCATATAATGACTACATGTCTTTAGTAATGTTTAAGAGTACTGCATGTAATTGCTGTAATTGCTATTTGTACCCAAGGCTTCCTTCATACATTTGCACTTATCCTTCTTAGATCTTGCTTGAATGATAAAATCCTGTAATACATTATCAGCCATCAGACTCTTGGAATACAGTTGCTGTAATAAAAAAAATAAACTGTAATCACAGAGATATGTCTCGCTTTTTAGTAATTTCGATAATGCAAATGTTGAAATTAAAATAGCAACACTTTAACATGTAAGATTTGCAAATATTCAAAGTCAATGAACCATGACTAAAGGTACATGGCTAAACAATCTCCATGGAAATTAGATGTTCCAATGCTAATACAACGCATACCAAATACCATTGACTTATCATAAGTAGTTCCCTTTAAAAAACCTAAACACAAACTAATACATGTAAACTAAGAAAATTTTAAAGTCAATAAACGATAACTGTGGGGGCGGGGTCAAATAATCTCCATGGTAATGGGATGTGCCAATGCTAATACAACTGAATACCAAATATCATTGACTTACCACTAGTGGTTTCCCATAAGCCGACCTAATCACAAACTACTACATGAAAACTAAGCAAAAGTTTCAAAGTCAATAGACCATGACTGAGGGAGCAGGGCCAAATAATCTTCATGGAAATGAGATATGCCAATGCATATTCAACTGCATACCAATTATCATGAACTTACCACTAGTGGTTCCCCATAAACTGACCTAGTCACAAACTAATACATGAAAACTAAGCAAAAATTTAAAAGTCAATAGACCATGACTGAGAGGGCGGGGCCAAATAATCTCCATGGAAATGAGATATGCCAATGCTTATACAATTGCATACCAATCATAATTAACTTACCACTAGTGGTTCTCCATAAACTGACCTAATCACAAACTAATACATGAAGACTAAGCAAGAATTTCAAATTCAGTCAATAAACCATAACTGAGGGGGCGGGGCCAAATAATCTCCATGGTAATGAGATGTGCCAATACTAATACAACTGCATACTAGTACCAATACCTTCGACTTACCACTTGTGGTTCACTATAAACTAGACCTAATCACAAACTAATACATTGTTGACGCCGCTGTCGTCACCAACGCCAGAAACAGCATACATATGCCTTGCTTTTTGACTCCGTCAAGCGAGACAAAAACAGCATATATTTTTTGTAAATCATACATCAAATATTGGCTTACCAATCAGGCAAAAAATGATAACATCAATTTAATCTCCAATGATTTACCAAACTTACATATATATATATATATCGTGTGAACAACTGGAGTGGAATATAATAGTTGTTGTTTATCATATTTATTTTTCGTTTAATGTCTTTTACGTAAATTGGAATTGTTTTACATCTGTCATTTCAGGACCTTTTATAGCTTGCTAGATGCAGTATCAGTTTTGCTCATTGTTGAAAGCTGTTCATACAGTGATCTATAGTTGCTAACATTCAGTCATTTGGACTCTGGTGGATAGTTGTCTCATTGGCAATAATACTACATATTCTCATTTTTATCAACATAAATTACCGTAATAATGAAAACTAACTCTATTCATGCATGTGTACTACACATTACCTGTATATATAATATATACTAGAATACTCCCGGGACATCATGGGGTCGTGACTGAAGCAAAGTACCTTAGCCTTATTTTTAGCCTGGATTTTAAGATTTTTCGTTTTGTCATCTAATAATGTCATGCTGGTCATTAGGTGCACAGTTTTCTCTGCTTTCAAAATCTTTCTTTTTGAACCCTTCGACCCAGAACTTGTTAATTACGACGCAGACGGAATGTAGGATCGCTATGTCTCGCTTTTTAGACAAAAGTCAAAGCCTCGACAATAAAAAAAGCACTTTTTTTTATGTTAAAATCCAGCAGCTACAACCATTGACTTCCCTTTCTTTCTTAAACTATCCTGGATTTCTACCTAACTTGGACAGAAGCTTGTTTATGATCATAAGAAAGTATCCAGAAGTAAATTTTGTAAAATAAAAATCCTGTTTTTCCGTGTTTTACTTATAAAAGGAATTAGTTTTTATGCCAGGAAACATTACATTCACTCTGTGGTTAAAGTTTTTAAAATTTTAATAACTTTCTTAAACTATCCTGGATGTTTACCAAACTTGGACAGAAGCTTATTTATGATCAAAAGCTAGTATCTAGAATGAAATTTTGTTAAAATTTTGTACCTGTTCATCCGTACTTTACTTATAAATGGACTTAGTCTTTCTTCCAGTTAACATTACATACAGTCTGCAGTTAAAGATTTAAAACATTTATTTGATTCATAAACCATCCTGGATTTTTACCAAACTTGGACAGAAGCTTCTTACAATCAAAAGATAGTATCGAAAGGAATATTTTTATTAATTTTTTTTCTCATTTTTGTTGAGCCTGCAATTAACAGCAAAAGTAGGCGAGACACTGGGTTCTGTGGAACCCTTAGGATTTTTCTGAAATTGCCTTGGAATTCAGTATTTTTAGCTCACCTGGCCCAAAGGGCCAAGTGAGCTTTTCTCATCACTTGGCGTCCGTCGTCGTCTTTAACTTTTTACATTTTGAACTTCTTCTAGAGAACCACTGAATGGAATGAAACCAAACATGGCATGAATGTTCCTTATGAGGTGCTGACCAAGTGTTGTTACTTTGAAGCCGATCCATCATCCAAGATGGCCGCCAGCGGGGGACTTAGTTTAACATTGGACCCTATGGGAAATACATACAAATGTCTTCTTTTACCGAACCACTGAATGGAATGAAACCAAACATGGCATGAATGTTCCTTATGAGGTGCTGACCAAGTGTTGTTACTTTGAAGCCGATCCATAATCCAAGATGTCCACCAGCGGGGGACTTAGTTTAACATAGGACCCTATGGAAAATATTTAAAAATGTCTTCTTTTAGAAAACCACTGAATGGAATGAAATCAAACATGGCATGAATGTTCCTTATGAGATGCTGACTAAGTGTTGTTACTTTGAAGTCGATCCATAATCCAAGATGGCCGCCAGCGGAGGACTTAGTTTAACATAGGACCCTATGGGAAATACATACAAATATCTTCTCTTAGAGAACCACTGAATGGAATGAAACCAAACATGGCATGCATGTTCCTTTTGAGGTGCTGACCAAGTGTTGTTACTTTGAAGCCGATCCATCATCCAAGAAATTAAATACTGTAACAAATACATACCAGTTACATTTATATATACTGTAGCTATAGGATCTCCTCAATATCTAATCCTGTTGTTAATTTCATTTAAACATATAATGTATATAGCTTCCCTTCCACTTACATCTGAGGAGCTAATTCTGAAAATTAAAATTCCTGTGATTATCATATAAAATCTGAACCTGGTGTAGTCTGCTTTCCAATAAGAATAAATTGGGAATACAGTTATCCCTTGGTAAAGAGAGAGAAAACAAGTGATATTTTTATATTATAACCAATACTGCACATGGTAATTGGAACATCACTAGTTTTCTGGATTGGATTGTTGCTCACTTTGTCAGGATCTTTTACAGCTGACTATATAGTATGGTTTTGTTCATTGTTGAAGGTCATACAGTGACCTAAAATTTTTTACATCCTCTTTGACTAATGGAAAGTTTTCTCATTGACAATCCTACCATACATTGTAAGACCTTATTTATAAAATCCATATACATTTACAAGGTACTTAATAAATCAATGAGACTGACGCAGAAAATGTAGGAAAAAAAAATATACTTTTGTTGGATCCTGCATCATAATTATTACAAGTTAAATGAAGGCAAGTCATAATCATTGAGTACATGTGCATTATATTTGAACTTAAAGTAAAGGATAATCTGATTAGTCTCTAATCAGTAATGAAGCCACACAACACTGTGTGACAACAGTGACATATAAGTCTCCCATAGATGCACATACTATTATTTTAGGTCTTTTGTATATATATGTTTAAGGTTACTTAGAATTGGCTGTTGACATACATGTACACATGGACTGTCAGGCATGGAGTCATTGGACCCTAGGTTACTCCAGTCCATTATCAGTCACTATCAATAGTCAACTCCTCTGTCCATTTGTTGTAATACAATGTACTGCTGAAAGGGAGAAAACAGTACTTTATTAATCATGTTAATAGCATGTGGATGCAAGACTATAATAAGTATTCAAAGAGTTTTGCAAACAATTAGCTTATACATTTAGGAGAATTCTGTATTTACCTAGTGATGTGACAGTAAACAGTGGCGGATCCAGAACTTTTTATAACTAAGGGGGTGGGGCCCACTCCAGTCATGCTTCAGTGATTCCCTATATAATCAACCAAATTTTTCCCACAAAAGGGGGGCCCCAAAGTACATTTTATTTATACCTTTCGTAAGCTTCAGAATAGTTTCAACGTTGACAAAAAGAATGGAGGACCTTTCACTGGACTGAAAATTTCAAATAGTCCAGGACCTTTCATTTTTTAATGCAAATTTTAACCCCTGCATGTAGACCAATTTGAAAACCTGGCCCAAAATTAATAGACAGCTGCACCATGAGCACATGATACACCAATCGCTTATTCAAAGAATAAAGTTCAATAACTTTTCAATGTCATAATCAGACATTCATGAAAAACCAAAGGGAGGTTATCTTAATAGATATAAACCAGTCACCAAAGTTTCATGATAACTGCTCAAAGCATTGTCTGAAATATGAAAATCCACCCTTTTTTATGAATAAAATCACATATTAAACTCTGAAACATAAAATCTAAAATCAATAAAAATAAAAAGGGAGCTTACCACAATAAATATAAACAATTCACCAAAGTTTCATGAAAACTGCTGTAATAAAATTGAGAATGGAAATGGGGTATGTGTCAAAGAGACAACAACCCGACCATAGAACAGACAACAGCAGAAGGTCACCAACAGGTCTTCAATACAGCGAGAAATTCCCGCACCCGGAGGCGTCCTTCAGCTGGCCCCTAAACAAATATATATACTAGTTCAGTGATAATGAACACCATACTAAACTCCAAATTGTACACAAGAAACTAAAATTAAAAATAATACAAGACTGACAAAGGCTAGAGGCTCCTGACTTGGGACAGGCGCAAAAATGCGGCGGGGTTAAACATGTTTATGAGATCTCAACCCTCCCCCTATACGCTATGCTATGTAAGCATATTTGAGTTATTGTCTGAAAACTGGAAAATCTCCCTTTTTTAAATGAATAAAACCCCACAACTTGGAAACATAAAATCTTAAATTTATAAAAATCGAAAGGGAGCTCATGTCAATAGATACAAACAAGTCACATAAGTTTCTTGCCATTTGGTGAACACATTTTGAGTTATTGTCCAAAAACTGGAAAATCCCCCTTTTTTAATGTTTTTTGGATATCAATAACCTTGTCAAACATACATGGAATTTTGACATGGAATTAGTTATATCTGCACACAAGAACACACATTTGTATGTGTTTTTTCTGCATAAACATGTAATTCATAATTTATTAAAACTCCCGACATAGTCCCATTGTGCATCTCTTTTTTATGCCCTTGTCGTAACGGGAATTAAGTTTTACACTTGTCTGTCTGTACATCCTTGCATACTTGCATTGCGAAATAGGTTTTATACCATTTTGATATATTGAATATTTTGACATTACACAGTCATACTTTTCTTAAGACTGCATGAAATGACAAACTGTGAAACATTGTTACACTAAATCTGTTGAATGTAAACTGATAAATATTTTAGTTTGGGAAAACATGTTTTTTGCACCTTTTTTATTATAAGACCTATTGATGAATCCAGTCCTTTTTGGCTAATTTTGAAAGTTGGTTCTTATGTTGTTTGCTGTCTGCCATTACTGTATGTAGTTTATATTTTTTCATCCTTGTAGGTTACTTTATGGTATTGATTTTGATCATTGTTTAAGGCTGTACATTGACCAGTAAATGTTTACATCTTTGTTCTTTGGTCTATTAATTGATAGTTGTCACATTGAGGATCATACCTCATCTTTTTATATTTATATGCTAGGTCATTGAAAAAGCTCCAAGGATACAACATAATTTAATTGTTATATATTTGCAAATTCATTCTGATAATGCACAAAAAATAAATTGATTGACTTTTTTTGCTCATTTTCATGTCCAGTGGCAAATATTTTATGTATTCTAAACGAGAACAACTTATCATGATCAATTCATAATATAGGCCAGTCTGACAATGCTTGTTTTAGACCCTTTTTGGTCTCTAATTCCTGAACGGTTTGGGCAAATACCCCCAAAATGAAACTTAACCATCTACTTGTGGTACAATTTCATAGCAATTAAAATACTTATAAACAAGTTATTGTCCTGAATTTAGAAAAATGCTTGATTTGGGCCTTTTTTTGGCCTACACTGGTTGAACCATGACCCCCAAAAATAATCCCAACCTTCCTTTTGTGGTATTGAACCTATAAATCTAATTTCATAGACATTCATACACTTAAACTGAAGTTATGGTCCAGAAACCAAATGTCTTCGAACGAGATGATAGTAATATACAACCTCAAAACTTTTTTGCTGTAGTATACAATATGTTTGTTCTTTTAAACATTTTCATAAATAATCTACAAGAAATTTAGACCTGTTTGGGATTGCTTGCAATGCAATTTTCATTACATTAAACAATGTATATTTCCAAGGAATAACTTCTGTAAACCTAAATTTTAATAGCACTTACTTTCTAACTCATACATTTCAAAGTGACATTATTCCTGTATAAATTATTTATCCAAGACATTACTGATATAAACCTTTGGTATACATTTCAGGCATAAACTTAAGACATACATTGTAGAAGTATGTCTTGCCTGTATGTAATCCTGTTAGTTAATTTCAAATGTTGAGATTTAAATGACAAGGCTTAAACATGTTAGCTATGTAAAACATCCAAAGTCAATGAAGCATGACTTGCAAAAGTTTCAAAATCATTAGACTATAACAGAGGGGCTTGGCAAAACAATAACTATGGCTCTGACATACAACTACATACCAAATATCAATGACTTATCATTACTGGTTCGCTCAAACTGACCTAATCAGAAACTTTCAACATTTAAGTTAAGTAAAAGTATTAAATATAAATAAATTGCTTCGCCGAGCGCAGCTGGATACGACCGTAGAGGTCCAACCCTGAACAGTTGGGGCAAAAATGGACACAATATTCGCGCTTGATACAGGTCTGAATTTGGATTAAAATTAAATGTTTGACACAGAATAACTGCAGTCAAAGAACTTAGAATTGGTTAAATGATTAGAATTTATATTCAATTTTTTGCTTTTGTGCAATACACTATGCTGTTGCGAATTGCCCCCCCCCCCCCCCCCCTACAATTTTTTTTCAAAAGCCAATTCTAGCCATCCCGTTGCAGTCTTCACGATGAACTTTAAAATCTACAGGCCCGGAGCTCAATTTTTGGAAAATTTTAGTTAGATTCTGTTGGCCTGTAAATATGATTTTTACAGGCCCGAGAGCAATTTTACAAGCCTGGGCTGCTGGGCCTGTGGTTCAGCGTGAAGACTGCCGTTGTGGTTATTTCACTCTCTGACGTCCTACAACAATAGGCGTTGTCAAGACGTCGATAACGTCGGATCAAAACAAATTGTGAATGCGTAGAAAAAAGATATAGTTCCTTACATTTTTTACATTAATTTCATTAAAAAAAGCCATTTGCCAATGTAATAAAAATAATAACTAATCAAAGAATTCAAATATCGAAAAATATTCAACTGGTGAGCGAACAACACTGATAATTAACTCATGCGCTATGCGCATTCGTGAATTAATGTGTTGTTCGGTCACTCGTTGAATATTTTTCTCTATTTGAATTCTTCGATTAGTTATTCTATAATTGTTGTACAATTTCAGAGAGATCCATACACCGTTCCACCAGTTATTGTCTAAAAACTAGAAAAATGCTTATTTTGGCCCCTAATTCCTACACTGTTAGGACCATAACCCCAAAATCAATCCTAACCTTCCTTTTGTGGTTATAAACCTTGAGGTTAAATTTCATAGATTTCTATTAACTAATACATGTACTAAAGTTCTTGTCAGGAAACAAAGTGTCTTCGGACGACGACGATGACTTGATACCAATATGCGACAATCGTATAAAAAGAAGATGTGGTATGATTGCCAATGCGACAACTCTCCACAAGAGACCAAATTGACACAGAAATTAACAACTATAGGTCACTGTACAGCCTTCAACTATGAGCAAAGCCCATACCGCATAGTCAGCTATTAAAAGGCCCCGAAATGACAATGTAAAACAATTCAAACAAGAAAACTAACGGCTTAATTTATGTACAAAAAATGAACAAAAAACAAATATGTGACACATAAACAAATGACAACCACTGAATTACAGGCTCCTGACTTGGGACAGGCACATACATACAGAATGTGGCGGGGGTAAACATGTTAGCGGGATCCCAACCCTCCCCCTAACCTGGGACAATGGTGTAACAGTACATCATAAGAACGAGCTATAAAAATCAGTTGAAAAAGGCTTAACTCATCAGATGGATAAAAATACAAATACTACAAATACAAGTGGTTGTGGCCGGGAACTTATACATCCCAACAACAAATAGACACTAAATACAGATCTGAGAGTACTTGCAGTTACTGACAGCTATTTCAAAGCCCCTAACAACTAATAACAAAAATTCGTAAGGGTTCCGCGGAACCCAGTGTCTCGCCTACTTTTGCTGCTAATCGCAGGCTCAATAAAAATGAGGAAAAAAATTAATAAAAATATTCCTATCTATACCATCTTTTGATTGTAAGTAGCTTCTGTCCAAGTTTGGTAAAAATCCAGGATAGTTTATGAATCTAATAAATGTTTTAAAAACTTAAACTGCAGACTGTATGTAATGTTAACTGGATGAAAAACTAAGTCCATTTATAAGTAAAATAGGGAAAAAATTGAACAAAATTTTAACAAAATTTCCTTCTAGATACTAGCTTTTAATCATAAACAAGCTTCTGTCCAAGTTTGGTACAAATCCAGAATAGTTTAAGAAAGTTGCTAAAATTTTAAAAACTTTAACCACAGAGTGAATGTAATGTTAACTGGCAGAAAAACTAATAAAATTGAGAAAAGTCCATTTATAAGTAAAATACGGAAAAAATGGAATTTTTTTTTTACAAAATTTACTTCTGGATACTATCTTTTAATCATAAACAAGCTTCTTTCCAAGTTTGGTAGAAATCCAGGATAGTTTAAGAAAGTTATTAAAATTTCAAAAACTTTAACCACAGAGTGAATGTAATGTTTCTTGGCAGA